CGTATTATATAAATAATATCTCATCTTTTATATTGTCATTAGACGATTTAATATGCCTGTTTTAGAAATGAATACTTCGATCTATACAGCATTTAATAGAAATTATTTCATATCAGAATAATATTCATGATCTTTAATGCCAAGATATAGCCTTCTACAAATCAAATCGATGTACTTTTCTTGACATTTTAAATATTATCCAGTCTTAATTATCTCTTATATTTAATGTCTCTTTTTCGTTTGAAATTCAAATCATATATTATATAAGTAACGTGCGCGAAAGATTTATTCTAAATTTGTTGTGTTTTGTAATCCCATAATTTTTATATTTTCTACGAAGTTATATTCTTTTAAATTTTATTTCATTCTTCAATTATCTAATTACCCGTTTTTCTTTACTTGCTCTTATTCTTTATTAATTCTTCTCTTTGCATTTGTATTCGTATAGTTTAGATGCATTTTCGTAATAATAAAGCCATGATGGAAGCAAATTATTTGTGAAGCCTAAAAAGTAAAATAATTGATTTTTTCAGGGGATTCGGATGTTCAAATAAGGATCACTGGAGCTCTACTCCTGCTCCCTTTTATATTTTCCTCTGCTTTTGTACAAAAGACGTGGAGACCAACAAGATTGGACGTCTTGAATTCTTTCATTGCTAAAGTTTGCAGCGCATCGGATGTTGAAGAATATATTGAGCGGCGACGTAAGTCATTGTCCGAAAATAACAGATTATATTGTGTACAACCCTATATTTTGGCGGTAGGCCCAACTTGGGAACATATTAATCAGGTTCACATAATAGTAGACCACGTTTTATATACGTGCGAAACCATAATTGAAGCGACAGAACTGTGTTTTCGATTATTTCATGCTTATCACGCAGATTATCCCGCTGAAAGTAAGCATGTGTGGCAATTAATCCAACAAGGTTTTTATAAATTGTTTATCAAGGATCACGATTTACACAGACGAACAATTACCAAGGCCTTAGCTGATATTGGTATTGAATTTAATACAGAAGAAATTAAACATTAAAATCTAAAAACCGTTTTTGCCACATTTGCTTTTCTTTCCTTTTTCCTCTTAGGCGGATTTTTAAAATTTGTTTTTGCTATCTTATCTTAATTTCGTATATTTTCATTGCTTTTTGTGTGTAATTATTGCTACAATTGTCGTGCATCATGTTAACGTGTTACTACTGTTCAGCAAAATTCAAAGTTATTTCAGAACTATTTCAGCATTTTCGAGAGACTTGTACCAATTTTTCTATTTCAAGCTCTTCACGTTTTCGGTGTGGGGAATTTGGATGTTTTCGTTTTTTCGATTCGTTGCTATGTCTTAGAATGCACTTGAAAAGGATGCATGGTGCAGTAAATATTATTTCAAAAGTTAACACTACCTCTGTTACTGATGATGAAGTTACATTACGTCATCTTGAAGTAAGCAATACACTGACAAATACTTCTTCATCAGTAACGGGACTTGAAACTAATGAAATCTTTGAAGACACAATGGCTTCAAATAATGGTAACAATGAAATAGAAATGGTAGAAGAAGCATGTGACGACCAAATTGCAAAAAGCATCCTTATCAGTGATCTGGCTTTAACCGTTAGTTCACTTCTATCTGATCTTACAGTCCCTAGAAAAACTGCACAATTTTTAATCAAAAGTTTATCTGATTTTTGCACCACTTCATTGACGTTAGTTTTGCAAAAATGGCACAATAATAACATGCTTGGAGATGGGACAATTGACATGGATAATATCCTGAATATAATTAGAGATTCAGTGTCCAATTTCTCCAGTGAATACAGAAGGAATCAATATTTTATAACAATTGGTACCTTGATATATCCTGAAGAATATTCTATAGCACTTGAAAATGTAGAATTTCTTAGAGGTGTAAGAAGACAAATTATAGGTACTGGACAATTTATTCCACTCCGACATGTTTTGCATAGATTTTTGTC